GCAAATAACACCGAATAAACGGCAAGGTAAAGACTATGTCTAATTATAGTAAATACGTACTGCGTGCGTGACTCGAACCGGCGCTCGCGTACGGCACCTAATCGCCTAGCTTCACGCCACTACACGTCTTCCACTCGGCCACCGGGCATCCCCAAAAAAGGATGCTTAATAACCGAGCTTATTACGTGCAGAGAACGTGAAACCCGTCCACGCGATACGCGCCACACAGCATGGCCAGAATGTTATGTCTACTGTACTAGTCTGTGTGTAGATTGTTATGTCTACTGTACTAGTCTGTGTGTAGACTGTTAAGCCTACTGTACTAGTCTGTGTGTACACTGTTATGCCCAATGTACTAGACTGTGTGTAGAATGTTATGCCCACTGTACTAGTCTGTGTGTAGATTGTTATGTCTACTGTACTAGTCTGTGTGTAGATTGTTATGTCTACTGTACTAGTCTGTGTGTAGATTGTTATGTCTACTGTACTAGTCTGTGTGTAGATTGTTATGCCTATTCTGCTAGTATGTTGTTTTATAAACTATCAATCACGACATGGTCAGCAGTTTCCATAGACGATAATGTGAACACTTGTGGTTATTTTTTTCGAATCAACGACTCGTGAATAATTAATACATACGTAATGTAGTGACGTCATCTGTGAATTGTATAAAGCATCGAATGAACTGGTTTGATTGAAGGTCATTAAGTGTCACATTCGCACCCGATTTTGTTCCCTCATGTTGACCACCGTGTGACGTAAATCAATACCGTCCCCTTTGCCATGGAACAAACGAAAATCCCAAATTCATTTTAAATACACGCATGCGACATGAACTGAATGATCGTATTTCATGGTCTCCCTATTCTGACGAACAAATTATATTCAGGGGGATTGCCGACTCGCCATGCTATATGGTGACAGCTGTGAACCACTTTCAAAATTAGCGATTATAATTAAATACAAATACGTATAGCATGGACGTCCATGCGTACAGTTACACCGATCGTAGAACTAAAAAAGGGCTCAATGCATCTGTCGTATTGTAGTAACACTATTCGTTTTTTTTTTCATTCAGTTTGGAAACAAGTAATGTAATTGGAAAAACTGCAACGAATAAACGATTCCACGTTGTCCAGTCTGTTACGCATTTGCTGTCACAATAGGATTACGTTTTCAGAAGGCACTGTCACTTGCCTTTTTGTCATAGTACATTTCAGCACCAGCTTGTCCAGCAATCCCAATGTGTTTTACTTGTGCGCATGCGCAGTATGTGACCCCTGACCCCGACCCTCCTATACGCGACAAGAGCTGTGCGACACAATTTACATACTCCATTGTGGAAAACCTTCGTTTGGTATTAATTTTAAAACATTTCATTTATAATTATACCGCTTAAATCTGGGCAATTCTGCTATGTTGCACAGTATTTTTACACTGGATTCAAAGAATACGATTACAGCGATACATAGTTGAATGTTGGAGAATTTCAAGATGAATAACTACTGGTAAATATTCGTAACTGTGTTTTTTTCGTAATTTGTCAAAATTATCCCGCTGTTTTTAAATTGATTCACTATTCTAGAACAAGTGTGTTCTGCGTGTGTCAAAAAAGTGTGCTGTCACACTAAGACCGATAACTCGTGTTGTGCGATTACGTGGTGTAGGTGGAAACGGAGTACGAATAATAATGGCATTTATCATGTCATGTTGGCCCCGTTACTGTATATGGGTGAGAATGGTGTCTGTGACTTTATGGCCTCCATGTTTAGTACATGAAATGTAACAACGATGAAACAACGGCATTGATTGATAATCGAAGTTGACGATTTTATGCTATTCGAAAGTCCAATCCACATATGCCAAGTTGAAGTTGCTACACTACTTCTGCCACAGTCCAGTCGATCAAGTTCAAGTGTGGTTATCTTGACTACGCCGTGTCATGAAATACTTGTATGCGATCTCTTAAACGTCGTGCAGAACATTGTAAATCGAAGTAGTTCCTTTAAATGAGGAATATTTTATACAATACATATGATACAGCCAATGACGCGAGTTTTTTGGTTTTTTTGTTTTAACATTCATAATTCAAAGGCAGACATTGTTGTTTCGGGAGCCAACCAGGCCACATATGTACGCACAATACACGTGTCGCGTGGCTTGCTGTTATACATATTTTCAGTTGACATTTCACGCAATCTAATCTCATGCTTTGTTGATGTGTAATCTCATGCGACCACTTTGGCAGAAATATTTTTAATCGCCATAATATCAACAGGTGTCTAGAGTTTCGACTCCTGTATTTAATTTGAACGGGCGGATGGATACCTTTCGAAATTTGGTCTTCAGTTTTTTTTTGGATTATTATTAAAACTTGTTTTTAAAGTATATTTTTGTTTTCGTTTTCCAGCCACTGTGGGTCAGGCGCCAGTTCTCGAATTTCCAATTTTGTTATAAGACTCGCCATAATCTACACGTTTGAGGTAGCTGTTGCCATGAGCCAATCTGTCATGATGGTCAACGACGCTCAGGGAGGTTTTGTTTATAAAGAATTCCAAGATCCAGAAAGGGACCGTTTGCTTTATGGACACTTCCCGCCCAATTTCACGTGGGCAACCGCAACCGCGGCATATCAAGTAGAAGGAGCCTGGGACGAGGATGGCAAAGGACCCAGTATCTGGGACACATACAGCCACCAAGATGGCCGTATATATAACAACCATAACGGCGACGTCGCTTGTGATAGTTATCACAAAATAAACGAAGATGTTGAGATGCTCAAATCACTGAACGTTACGCACTATCGCTTCTCAATTTCTTGGCCGAGAGTCTTCCCAGAAGGTGTCCCTAGTATGAAAAACATGAACGAAAAGGGGATGCAGTACTATCAAGATTTAGTTAATGCGCTGATAGCTGCCAACATAGAACCCATGGTAACCCTTTATCATTGGGATCTCCCTCAAACATTTCAAGATACAGGCGGATGGGAGAACGATATAGTCGCCGTATATTTTGCGCAGTATGCAGACCTTTGCTTTAAGCAACTCGGCGACAGAGTTAAACTTTGGATCACGTTTAATGAACCGAAAGTAGTGGCGAGTGGTTATGGGGGCGCTCGTAAAGCCCCGGGACTGGGACACCAGAGTACCGGCGTATATCGCGTTACGCATAATATATTGAAAGCACATGCCAAAGCTTGGCACGTGTACGACGACAAATATAGAAAAAACCAAGGCGGGCAAGTTGGGATTACTTTAAACTGCGATTGGGCGATTCCAGCTTCAGAAAGTGAAGCTGACCGCGACGCCGCAGATCGAGCTCTTCAGTTCGGACTTGGGTGGTTTGCTCACCCAATATTCGTCGGTGACTACCCGGATGTAATGAAAAAGCAAGTGCTCGAGAAGAGCCGCGCACAGGGACTGACGTCATCACGACTCCCTATCTTCAACGAAGACGAAATCAACACGATTCGCGGAACTGCTGATTTCCTTGGATTGAATCACTACACCAGTCAGATGATTGCCCACCACAATTCCGAACTCATGCCATCGAGTTATTCTTCTGATCAAGACATACTGGGATGGCATGATGAGAACTGGCCCAAGTGTGGTGTAAGTTGGCTGAGACCAGTGCCTTGGGGGATTCGACAGCTTTTAAAATGGATAAAGGAAGAATACGGAGACCCTGCTGTATTCATCACGGAAAGTGGCATTGCTGAGAAAAGTGACGTAGAACCTATGCTGAACGACACTTGGAGAATGCAGTACTACACAGCTTATATAAACGAAGTGTTGAAAGGTAAGACCGAGAAGATAATGTTAAAGGGCGGATAAACATTGATTTTCCCATAATCCAATGCGCTTTTCTAGCTAAATCACGGATACGAGTTTTGTCCTGGCCGCCACTTGCACTAACAACCGCCAGCGACTCCTTCGATGTCTTCCAAACACCAATAAAAAAAATAATTGAAGCTTGGTAACCTCTTAGTTTGTACTCGTTGGTGTGCGCAACAGTCAAAATTGCCGTCTTTGTTTATATGAGACCCATACCTCGCGCATGCGCGGCACGACGACTACCGCCCTTTAAAAAAGTAGCATGTATACTAGCCTGACAAGGTCGCGTCAGGCTACATGCATACTTACATACTTTTAAAAAACCGAGTGTCTTTGAGGCAACAGTGGTAAAACTGAAATGATTATTTGAATTCTAAGTCAATATCTGTGTTTATTTACAGCTTACATATTGGATGACGTAGATGTGCGGGGATACACAGCCTGGTCGCTGATGGACAATTTTGAATGGGCGGATGGATACCTTTCGAGATTCGGTCTCCATTACGTGGACTTCAATGACCCAGCACGGCCACGGACACCGAAAGCATCCGCTGAAATATTTGCCGATATAGTCCGAAATAACGGTTTTCCAAATCCGCAAATACTATCAAAATCTTCTAAGTACCTTAGTAAGCTGTCCTCGTATTTACTGTTTCCCTGACGGTTGCATGGCGTCACCGCATGGTGGCGCTCTCTCATATAGCAGACGATGACGACATAGTTCATTTCACGATACAACTCAACTTATATATATACAATGTATATATAACACCGATGACGTCATTTGAGTAAATTATTGCAGCATACATTTTGGTGTAACTTTTTTTCTACTAGAATTTTTGCACATTTGTAATATTTGAAAATGTTATAATAAATGCACCCAAGTGTGATATATATAATAATTTTCGCGATTGGAAAATCACAATGAAATTGATTCAGTTAGTGCTTCTATTATTGGCTGGTGACGCGACTATATTAGTTGGCGGGATTATTAGGTGACGTGTGTTCCACTTTATAAATGAAATCAGCCTCGTTCGCAAACTGATGGGAAGACAGAAATACTGAGATAGAAAAAGAGAGAAATGATTTTCTATGAAACGTAGATGTAGTTTTAGTGGACTACGTCAGTTTGGTATTCCACGTCACGGCACCATGTGGTATGTGGATTAACTTACTGCCATGGCGTGGAACATCTTTCTAGAATATCTCTTTGTTGATATACTGATTAATAAAATACATAAAGACTATGGGTTATTTAATGTCATTACTGTACGGCCACATTCTATAGTGAAACTCCTCGATTCAATGCAAATTAACGCAATATATGTATTAAAATTAGGCGTTGTTTTTCAAGCTGGTTTGTGTACATTTTTTGTTGTTCTAATATATCATATTATGGTGCTGAATTTCTTATATTAAAATGATCTTTTTAAACAACCTGTACATTGCGTGATTATTTTCATTCTAAAAATATTATATAATATTACAGTCTTCGTCATCAAAATACTAAATAAATCACCTGAAGAGGCGAGGTGATGGATCGAAGAGCAATAATGTTCCAGTTATTTACATAAAGTAAAACTCATATTTCCTCCCTTGTTTACTTTGCATTCGAACCCAGCATAATGACTATAACATGATACCTCGGACGGGCGATGAGACAGTGTTATACGTCTATTGACCAACAATTAAAATATTATTCCACTTAAAATTAATAAAATAAAAACAGTAATTACTATCACAATAGCGGCCATTTGTGCATATCATTTGTTTCCTGTGGGATTACTGAAGACGTAATCTTTTAATAAAATACGCTGTTGTAGCAGCTTGCACCAGCTTGAACGTTAGATGTCACAGGTTGGTGTATGCTATGTAATTCGATTATATTTCGTTGTTTGAAAAATATATATATATACATGTATATATATATATATCATATACACACTAATACATTGTTTACACTGAGGTCAGTAAATCCTGCAATTTTTCCTGAGTGAAAAAAAAAATGAGTTGAATAATGTCAACCGAAGTATACAATCGGGAAATACCTCAAGTAATTGCTAGCGTAGGTCACGTGATTTTTGATCCTGTCAGTTACATTAATTTGCATATTGCAAATCAGTAGAGCGTTATGGAATCCAAATCCAACATTAATGTAAAGCAAACCCAGCGAAAAGACAAGAATGCATTGCATTGATACTTTAATTAACAGTATTCCGGTATGAATCATTGGTGAAGGTTGGGACACTTTTGTCACAGTCGTTGCCAAGGTGACACTAATCACACGCGTGCTGGTCAATTTTATCACGTTTCAGTTTCAATCCGGATAACTGGTAAGTGAATATTTTGAATAGCTGCTTCGTGAACGCAACCTGGAATACAGTCTCAGCCTCTCCCTCTCTCTCTCGCCCGAACTTAGTGATTTGAAGAGTTAACTCCGAATGGTGCCGATGTTGTGACCGTCGTTACTGATTCATCTATAAGTGTAGGATCAACAACAAAGAGATTTAGTCATTTTTCATGTGTTTACCTTGCTAATGCGAATGTTAGCTTATGACACGACCAGGGCGTTTGTTTGGTATGTATAACAAATATAGATAACAATTGCGTGTACACACACTTTTATAGCGTTTTTTTCTCTTTATCTCTACATAGTAGAGATATCTCAAAATATCTATAATAATAATTACCAAAGTTACGTCACGTTTTATGTTTATGCCTATTTAATGATGTGTCTGACTAATAGATGGGAGTCTGCGAATTGCACGTCAAATCAATTATGGCAATTATGTTTTCGTCATCTGCCTATCAATGTTTCGTTTGAAATTGACTGGCACCCACTATTTTCAATGCTACACTATTTTATTATACTAACTGTATGAAATGCATATCTGGATAATAGTAATGTATTTTTTTCATATTGGCTTTTTCCCATATAGGAGTATATATGAGTGAACAAACACGAACATGGAGACGCCAGTGTTGGCACGGTTGGTCACGTTTTTTCTGAGTTTCTACTTTGTTCTATGCTTTCGCTCGAGGACCATAGCGGCCGAAGAGCTCCAATATGGTGGATACGTGTATAAACAGTTTCAGAATCCTGAGAGGGATAGATTTCTGTACGGTCATTTCCCGGCCAATTTCTCTTGGGGAGTCGCTACTTCCGCTCATCAGGTTGAGGGCGCCTGGGTGAAACACGGGAAAGGACGCAGTATCTGGGATATTTTCACCCACAAACGGAAACACATTTTCGGCGAAGAGAACGGAGACATTGCCTGTGGCAGTTACGATAATGTTAAACTGGATGTGGCGTTGCTACGGAAACTAGGTGTGAAACATTACAAGTTCTCGCTCTCTTGGGTAAGAATTTTACCCGAAGGCACCACGAACAGGATTAGTCAACAGGGTATTGAATATTACCATCGATTGATCGAAACTTTATTGAAAGTGAATATTGAACCAATCGTAACCTTGCATCATTGGGACTTGCCACAAGTGTTCCAAGACATGGGAGGGTGGAGCAACGAGCACGTGATCACATACTTTAACGACTATGCCGAGATCTGCTTCGCCGAATTCGGAGCGAAGGTTAAAAAATGGATTACGTTCGATCAGCCGTCGTCATTCGCCATACACGGGCACGATACGGGGATATTAGCGCCGGGACTCAAACACCAGGGCACTACGGTGTACCGCGTTGCTCACAACATGATTAAAGCACATGCGATGGCGTGGCACACGTACGATAAAAAATATAGAAGTATACAACACGGAGAAGTTGGAATATCCTTGCTTGCTAATTGGGGTATCTCAGTGACAGAACGGATTGCTGACTTGGAGTCAGCAGATATGTACATGCAGTTCACATTGGGGTGGTTCGCGCACCCTTTATTCGTCAATGGGGACTACCCTTATTCCTTGAAAGCGCAAGTGCTGATGAAAAGTCGGGAGCAGCATCTGACTTCATCTCGCCTTCCCAAATTTACAGAGAAGGAAAAAGTGTTAATACAGGGCTCTGTAGATTTCCTCGGAATTGAGTATTTTACTTCGTATTACGTGGATGCCAGGCGAAGTAAATACTTGTTGCCTGCGTCTCATCGGAAGGACCAAGACTCCGAAATATGGGCCAGTAGGAAATGGCCCACGACCGGTGCGCCTGAGTACCGGGTGGCTCCCTGGGGGATCCGTGAAGTACTGAAATGGGTCAAAGGGGAATATAACAACCCGCCGATCTACATCACGGGCAATGGCATGGCTGAAAACGTACCAAGTGACGATAAAAAATCCGTTAAGCTCATGGATATTTGGAGAATACAGTTCCTCAAGGCGCACATCGACGAAGTCTTGAAAGGTATTATAATTTCACAGTGAAATGAAAACATGCACTTTGATGTTTATACGTTATGTTAATGAATACATAAGATTATGATTTGTTATAAACTAAACGCGTCTTCACTGCTAAGTAATGATTTAATGACGCAATAAGATTCCCCAATTCAGTCATTTTCGACTAAATTAAATCATTATCTAACTATGCAATCGACATGCAATATCAAGCAACAATAATAAACAAAAATATGTTGCATCTTTAATATTTTCACTGTTTTGGAGGTATCAATTCACTTTATTGAATTTTGTGAATCTATAATCTAAATTCCTGTCTCCACGGAAACCGAAACCAAAACCTAATCGATTGATCATTATCTGTGGGGCGTTAATAAATTGCATCAAAACTCGTTTAGCTGTTCATCTGTCAATGGTGAAGAATTCTTCCAAAACATGTGTCCCTATCAACGAGATTAATATCTTTTCCAATGGAATTTTAATCAATTGATTTTTTTTTTCACATTTTCAATATTGACTAATATACTAGTATATGCTGATCTGAATGAATGAACAAAATATATATTGAGTGAAGATTGTACTAAAAACGTTTACCTTGAAGAATATTACGCGTGTTTGTATTTCAATGGTACAT